GACCTGCAATTTAGGGTTGGGGAGAGGAGGAAGACTCAGCCAAGGCTTGGGGATCAAGAGGGTCACTAGGGGTACAGGTGCCCCAAGCTGTATGTGTGACCTCTCCTACTGGTGAGGGGTGGGGACTTTTCCAATCCCTGTCCTCCATTCTTTTCTTTGGCTTTGTGATAATCTTCTGAGGAAAAGAAAAAAAAAAAAAAAGAACCACAAACTTTTAAATGTCTTTATTTACATGAATATCCATGTCATTAGATTTTTTCCCCCTCTTTGAGGTGCTGAGGATGGAATCCAGGGAATCATGCATGCAAGGCAAGTGCTCTCCCACTGAGCCACCTCTCCAGCCCCCTGTTATTAGATAGTAGATTTTTTTTTCTTTTTCTTTTCTTTCTTTCTTTTCTTTTTCTTTTTTCTTTTTTTTTAACCAGGGATTGAACCCAGGGGCTCTTAACCACTGAGCCACACCACAGCTCTTTTTTATATTTTATTTAGAGATGGTGTCTCATTGAGTTGCTTACAGCCTTGCTAAGTTGCTGAGGCTGGCTTTGAACTTGCAATCCTCCTGCCTCAGCCTCCTGAGCCACTGGGATTACAGGCGTGCACCACCACGCCCGGCCTGTTAGTAGATTTTGATGACTATATAACATTGTGTTTCACAGAGCATCTAGGTGGCATTATTCGATATTGTAATAAAAAAATAACCAAAGGTGATTTTGAGATACTATTGATGATATATGATGCATTCCAATTTCAGGAGGGTTAAAAAATGTCAAAAAAATGTGCATTTTGCAATCAGTGAAATGTGGTCTTCTGTTGTGGATTGTTGAGAGATTTGTTTGGCATCTGGAACAGGGTCTCAAATGAAGTAACAGTGGTTTATATTATGAAGAATTCTTTCTTTCCCCTGTGGGTCCTGGTGCAGGGTTCCTTCTGTGTTTTTTACTTTACCCTCCATATGTCTGCTTAACCCTTTATCCTGTTCACATTCCATCCAGGGAAAGAGAGAAGGGAAATTATAAGACCTTCCCTTTTAGAGCTTGAAACACTTGCATTCATACCCCATTCGTCAGCACTCAGTCATATGGCCACTGAGAAGTGAGGGAACCTGGTAATAAAGCCTTCACTCTAGGCCTGCTCTTGCTCAGTTAGGGTTCACCTTCTGCTCTATCCAGCTTTTGTTCCAGAGCATAAGTAGAGGACCATCAGACTTTGCTGCCCACTGCTGGACTGTTGTGTTCTCAACCAATCCCCTGCTGTTGGACATTTAGATTAGTTCAGCTGTCAGCATTTATCACATTTGGTCTTGATATACTTGTGTGATTTTTGGTGTAATGCCTGCCTTTCTGATTCCTCGTGAGCTCCCTAAGGGCTGGGGTTAAACTGTCTGACTTTCAGTTCTATTTCTAGCATTTGGCACAAGTTTTAACACATGGCGTTGTTCAATAAGTGTTTGTTGAGAGAATAAACTATTAGTATGATTATTTTGCCTAGGCCAAACATCACGTTGCAGTGACTTTTATGTTTGTTTGTTTCTAGTTCTTTTTTATAATATTCATTTGGTAATTTATTAGAAATTCTGAACTAAGTAGAAATGACTTTTTAAAAAGGATATTGATGTTTATTTTCAGAAAATACTGCCAGCAGTATTTTCATAATTCTAGTATAGACTTTTTCTTCGTACAAAAGGGAAAGTAAGAATTGATTTCATTTAGAAAAGGCAAAATACAATTTATACAAGGGGAGATAAGAAGAAAAAATCTGCAGATATATCTCTGTCTTTATATCTGTGTCTCCATCCATACAACCATTATTTAACCTCTCTCTCTCTCTCTCTCTCTCTCTCACACACACACACACACACACACACACACACACACACACACGGTGATCTGTCTTCCTTTCCTTAGGCACACTGCTGTGAGACCTCAGCTAGTGGAAAGTCCAGTCAGGCAGTTTTGCCCCTGACAATTCCAGGTCTTTGGGTGTGGATCTGTGAAGGTCAACAGCAGTCTGCTTCCATTACAGCTGTTATTTCTCTGCTCTCTGCCCCAGTTTGTGATTCTGAAGTGGAATCATAGAAGCGGCACTGCTAGTGCTCCCATCTCAGCCTAGTAGTGCCAAGCCCACCCTGCCTCCCACCAGCTTCTCACCAGGACTGCCCACTCATGGGAGGTGGGACTTGAATGGCAAAGGGAAGGTTGGTAGGATCAAAAGCATCTGGGGCAGGAGCAGTACAGCATCTGGGTCCCTTTTGGACCCCATGGTTCTTGCCCTCAGGAACACACCTTGAAACTGGTATCATAGTGCCCTGGCCTGGGGTTTGGGGGAGGGATGGAGATAAGTGGATGCGATTGAGAGCAGAGTCGGAGCTGGAGTTTGGGGAACAGGGACCTGAGAATGGGGTTGGACACAAGCAGGCTGGAGCTTAGGATGGGGTTATGGGATTGGCATCAGAGTTAGCGATGGGGATGTGTCTGGAACTGGAGGTGGGGATGGGGCTACGCTAGGGGTTAGGAAGGGGAGGATAATGTGAGTGGGATAGGCTGCTGGTAGTGTAGAGATGGGGATGGGACAGGAACAGTCGGCGATGAGGCTGTGGTTGTGGTATGGGTTAAGTGGCGGGGGTGGTTGTGGGTCGGGGGGACGGGAGGGGATTCAGACTGGGATGAAAGGTGAGCTTGGTTTGGGTTGGGAATGGAGACTAGGATACAAGAAAGTGATGGAGAAGATCCAGCCCCCAGAACTCTCTTCTGCCCCAGCAGCCCAGCTCTCCTGGGAGGAGGACCGCAAGTTCATCCTGCGGGGCTGGTCTCTCGTCTTCATCGTTCTCTCTGCCCTGATGGTGTTCAGCGTGGTGGATGGGCAGATGGCCTACTTGCAGGGCTCCTACACTGGTTACCTGGGCTTCTGGACCAACTGCAGGAGGCACAAGTGTCCTGACATGGGCCAGGTCACCGGTCAGTTACCCTGCATGGGCTACAGGGCCTCCAGATGTATCCTGGAAGTGACTGAGGGTGGAGGTCTCCCGGGAGTTTCTGGGGGAGGATCTTAGGATTGGGGGTGTCTCTGGAGATTCTCTGAAGGTGAATTTTGAGAGTGGAGTTATTCTGGAGTTTCTAGGGGTGATTTTGAGGCTATCTGTGATCAGACCTAGGGTGCCTATTGGGCTGCTTATGGGTGTCAGTGTGATGCTTTGGAAGGTGGCCTGAGTGTCTGGGGGTGACTGTGGGTACTTGTCACCACTTCTCTAGTTCTCATTCACATGAGTAAGGGCCTCATGATGCTGGCCATGGCCCTGTGCCTCCTCCTCCTCCTCTCCATGAGCCTCTCCTTCCGACCGCTCTTCCGCCGCCTGAGCAAGCTGGACTTGGTCTTCAGCTCCCTCAGCATCAGCATTGGTGAGTGGCAGGGTAGAGGGTGCCCCCCAGCCTCCTGCCTTGACGAGGCTCGCTGTCTGCTGGCCTTGGGGTGTCTCTTGGGCCCAAACCTTGTATGTATTTCAGCCTGTTCTTTCTGTCAGCCGCGTGTGTGAATTCCTTCTTTGCCACTGTCTTTCTCTTTTCCTCCCTTCCCCTCCCTCCAGGCGTCAGTCTGTCCTGTGTGCAAGCATGCCCGTTTCTTTGCTTGTCCTAGAGGGTGGGAGAGGAAGTCCCTCTCTCTTCTCCCACCGTGATTCCTGGGGGTCACTGTCCAGCCTCCTGCCATCTCTGGCCCCACCCCAGTGCAGGGCTCCTGATTTTCCTCAGCCTGACGCTTTTTGTAGTCAACTGCCAGATATTGCGCCCAAGGCCACAGGTATCCTACATGGTGACCTTCTACCTGTGCTGGTGTGCCAGCGCCCTGATGCTGTGGGCAGGTAAGCGCAAGGCTCTGAAAGAAGTGCAGGGCGTTGGCAGGGCAGAGGGTGGAGCCCAGGGAGAACCAGAGGCAGCTGGCCTCGAGGGAGGTGGCGGGCCTAGGATGGAGCCCAGAGTCCAGCACCCACCCAGCCCCCTCTCCCAGGAATCTTGTCCTACTTAAACCAAGTGGGCGTATGGAGCAGCTACACGTCCTCCTTGGAGCGGCCGGTCAGCAGTCGCCGGTGGGCCTCGCAGCAGTGTCCGCTGAGGCGCTCGTGCCAGGTCCTGGACCTGCCCCGCCTAAGCGCCAGCAAGGACAGTTGCCTACGTTCCTCCAAGGAGTAACACCCAAGCTTCTCAGGTCACTGGTAACGGCTGTTGGGTGCCAGGCCGGCCTGTGCAGCGTGGCCACTTTCCAGAGATGAGACCTCCCAGGAGGCCTCGCTCGATGACCGCAGGCCACCTGCCCTCCGAAGACAAGGGCAAGCCCTGCCCCCTGTTCTAGGGTCCACCCTTTGCGGCTCTGTCTCCACCCGCTGGGTCTTCTTAAGGCCCCCCGCCGTGGAAGTCCTGGGGTTTTGCCGCTCTGATTGGTCCACCTTGTCCTGCCAAGCCCCAGAAGTGTGGCCATTTGAGTAGCCCCGCCCCTGGTGCCCAGCCTGCTCTGGCCATCCTCCCAGCCCTGGCAGTACACATCGGAACTCCCCTCCCAGAGGTCCAGCTCCACCTGATATGTGGATGTCCGCTCTTGCTCCCAGGGACACCCACTGCCCTGCATTTGGTATAGCCTCACCCTTCTGCGCAACAGGTCCCTCCCTAGGAGCGCATCCCACTGCCCCTCCTGGATTCTTGCCACAATAAAATCTGAGGCTCTCCAGCCTCTCCCTGTCTGACTCTCCGTGGCCGCACCTGCCCTCCCAGGTTAGGGTCAGGCCCAGCATGAACTAACTAATGGCTGTGCTCCTGATTTGCCCTTTGGGGTCTGAGCCTTCCCCTGCCTGTTGGTGTACCTTGGTCAGGGCCCCTTTCTGTCCCCTGCCTGCTCATGACTGCTTGAAAGACTGGGACCCATGGGGAAGTTCTAACTTTTGCTCTATGGCTCCTGAGCGTGGAGGTGCCCACCCAACATCTGGAAGGCCAAATCATGCCAGAACTTTATGCTCATTTGATGCATATTCAGTTTTACTGAGACTAGGACACAACGTGGGACATTCAAGGGTTGTTCTCTATGGTGTCATTTATCCAAGTCATATGCGAAAATATTTTGGTGTAGATACCAGGCATATTGGGACTGCCACATGGGACATGGCCCCATGACGTGACACCCTGGAGCTCACCATTGCAGACCAGTGGGCCTCCCGAGTCACCCTGGGAATATGAGAGGGAGAGGGGGTGAGAAGGGTCTCCAGGGCCTGGGTTCCAGCTACAAGCCAGCTCTCAGACCTGGGGATTCCAGAGCCTACTCGTGGAAGAAGGCGGGCAGGGGCTCCAACAGAGGGACAGACTGCTGGCCAAGGGGACATAGAGTCTGTCTCCTGCACAGGGGTGGGGGGGGGCATGCGCATGGTCCAGGAGGACAGTGCCTGCAGACCTGGCGGCAAGGAAGCAGTAGGTGCAGCTAGGAGACACTGGGGGTGTGTGTCCTGGAGCTCGCTCTCCAGGGAACTTTCTAACTAGACATCCACACCTGCAGAGGACCAGGGTGGACTCCGTGCGGAGGGCAAGGTGAGGGCGGGGCCTGCAGCGGGTGTGGGGGAGGCTGAGGCTCTGGAGCAGGGGCTGCAGCTGGGCAGCAGAGGAGCGATGCACACTTAGCTATCAGACCCCAGTTCAGAATGGGAAGAGCTCAGACCCCAGCCCTCCCACACCCCGGGGGAGGGGCTGGCTCACCACACAGGTGTCTTTGCCACCTTTCAAGTGCCCAGCGCACAGCATGGTGTCTGTCACCTTCTGGGAATGGGCTTTGTCACACTCTTCATTAGACAGGATTTCAAGGTCCACGCACTGGAGATCATCTGGGTACACATCTGCAGGCCAAGGAGAGAAAGGGCTGTGGCCGGATCCCAGCTGGCTCCTCACCCTCTCCCTCCCACAGGCGTCCAGCTCCGGGCTGCACCGTCTAGCCAAACGCACACTTGTCTGGTTCTATGCTGCCCCAGCCCGAGGCAAGGCAGGTGCTCCCCACTTCTGGCTCCTGGGTGGGCAGCTCCAGGACCTTCACAGCATCGGTGATCTGCACGGGCTCCGACAGGCGGAGCAGCATCAGGTCGTGGCTGTAATCCTCATCAGGGAGGCGGGTGTGGTTCTTCAGGAGGCTCAGGTTGAATTGCGGGTGTGGGAAGCTGTCACTGACTTGGGCATACTGAGCCAAGTCTTCATCGTCAAACAGGTTGGGGCGACCCAACCACAGCTGGTAATTGCTGGGGGAAAGGATGGAGGGAGTGAGGAGAGGAGGGGCGGGAGCACGGGGAGGGTTCCCAAAGAGAGAAAGTGAGGAGAAAAGCCGGGGACAGGGGCAGCCAAAGGGAAGAGGAAGGAGAGCGAATTGAGAAGGTGGGAGACGGGTGCAGGGTTAAAGAGAAACAGGGAGCAGAGAGGAAGTGGGTGAGCTGAGAGAGAGGGGGGAGGCCTGGGAGCGGCTCAGCTGCAGCAGCTGGCCAGGGTCCCCAGCAGGGCAGGCAGCTGGGCACAGAGCCCAAGGTCACCCCTGTCCCCGCCCTCCCCGCTCTTCCTCCTCCCTCAGTTGCCCCCCCCCAGCTCCAGTTCAGCCCTTCCCTGTGTCTCCCCCAGAGGGGACTGACGATCACACAGGAGAGGCAGGGCAGAGCGGGAAGCCCCCTCCCAGGCACACAGGTTGGGGTGCATGCCTGCTTTTTCTCAGGGTCCCCCTGGGAATGGGGCCAGTAGTGATGGGGGAGAGGAGTGAGCCAGAGACCCAGAGAAAGAGAGAGGGATGGAGACATGCAGTGCCTGAGAAGGTGGCAGAGACTCAGAGACAGAGAAGAAAGGAAGACAGAGGCCAGACCCCAGCCCCACACGGAGAGAAAGAGACACACACAGAGCCAAGTACTGAGAGAGCCACAGAGGGGACAGGGTCTTCAGGCCCAGCTCTGCTCCTCCTTGCAAAGCCAGCACTCTCCTGGCCCAACTTTGCCTGAGGTCACCCTGGGAATGGCCCTGGCTGCCCAGTTCTGGGGGGCGAGACTCCTTTTCCCCAGCCCCTGCTGGTACCCACTTGCTGATGCAGTGGGCAGCTGTGAGCACCCACTGGGGGTGCACCAGGACGCCCCCGCACTGGAAGCTGCTGTAGTGGTACACGGCCACCTGCCAGGGCTGGGAATGCTTCTCACACTTCCAGCCACCGATGATCCGAGACTGCACGGGGGGCGCAGCGCCTGTTGGAAGGATTGGGGGACGAGGCTTAGAGGGAACTGTGCTGAAGGTTGGAAGGGACATGGGGGTAGAGGGTCAGGACTGGGGACCTGGGGACGCAGCCAAGTGCTTTGGGGAAAGGACCCAAATTCAAGAGTCACCCCTGAGCTTGTGAGTGGATGGCTAGTCCTCATTCTCTGAGAGCAGAGCTGGCCCCAGGAGTGAAGGAGAAGGCAGCAAGACAAGAGGCAGGCGTGGGTCTGGAGGTCAGGCCACTTGGGGTCTTGGGCTGAGGGGTGGGAGGAGAGTGTCCAGGGGAGGGATTCCATAAAGGAGTCCCAGGAGAATCAGAAGCTGGAAGAAGAACTTGAGGTGTTTAGGGGCTCCTAGGCTGGGGAAGCAGGGCCTGCGTTGGGCTTTTGAGGTTCAGGAGAGGAGAAGGCGTTAGGGAACCAGGTCTGAGAGGACAGTGTATCTGGGCAGGGGAATCTGGGGCTGATATGGGGAACCAGCTCAGGCTGGAAGGGGCCAGCTGGGCTGAAGAGTTAGAATTTGGGGTTTCCAAGTTGAAGGATAAAAGAAGGGGCAGGGTTAAAGCTGGAGGAGGCTCCTGTGAGGTTTCAGGGTCCTTCCTGTGTTGCAGAATGGCCTCTGATGGTCCTGAGAACAGGCTGCATCAGGACTGGGATGGGGACCCTGGAGGGAGTGGTGACAGTTGTTCTGGGATGAGGTGAGAGGTGGGCTCTGCTTCTCCTGGGCTGAGGGTGCTGGGGGATCTGGAGGCATCCGGGACAGGCATGGAGAAGGCCACACGGCTGTGAAGTGGAGATGGAGGACTCGGCCAGTGTAGGGTTTCAGAATCACGGATCGTGGTTATTGTGGTCCTTTGGGGAGGTCAGGGCAGGATGGCGGGACTAGGGAGGTAGTGTGGAGCTGGGGGTGGAGTCCCAGGAAGCAGAGCTTTGCTCCTGGGGGGGAAAGGCTGGAGCTTGGGGAGCGATGGGAATTCTTAGGGAAAGGAGCCCCTGGTGGAGGGCTTGGATTTCCATGCTGGGAGGGAAGACTGGGCTGTTGTGTGGGGTTCTGGGGAAGCGAGGTTGTCTGGTGGGATCTGGGAGACTTGGGAGGAAAGGAGATGGGATGTCAGGGTCTGGAGGACAAGATGGATTGCTGACAGCTGGGTGGGAGGGTCACTGGGTGAGGTGGGATCTGGGGATTCAGGAGTCAGACCATCGGACTGCAGAGAGAGAGAGAGAGAGAGAGAGAGGGTCAGAGGGGATAATCAGGGTCCCAGGGTCTGTATGGGACTAGAGATCCCCTGGAAGAGTTGGAGAACCCCAAAGAGAGAGAGAGAGATGTGCTGTGGACTTGGGAAGAGGAGAAAGATCTGGGGAAGTGGCAAGGAGCAGGGACCTCCCCCTCGAGGGAAGGGAACTGTGAGGGAGGTGACAGTGTGGAGGAGTGGGAGAGAAAGGAAGCGCCTGATCCCTGGTGTAGGGTGACTGTGGCCTGCAGGGTCAAGGCTGGGGTGCTGGGCAGGAGAGGAAGGACTTACAGTGGTGAGGGAAGCATGAGAGTCAGGGCCCTGGTCCCCTCCACAGCCCCCCACTGTCTCACCAGTCCCCCCCAGAGATAGGGCGAGGCTCAGAACCAGGAACCACATGATGACAGAGGTGTCCAGAGGCAGGCAGGAGCCGAAGAACCTCCTTGGGGAGCCTTTAAAAGCCCTAATGCCCCCAGAGCCCCGCCCCTGCCCTGCTGGCACCCAGATGCTGGCCAAGGCCCTGCCCCTGGCGGCGGGCTGGGCTACCCTTTCCCACCCCTGTGGAAGGGGAGGGAGAACCTGCACCTGTTCTCCTGTGTGTCCTGGATCACACTGGATGCAGTCCCAGGCTGAGGCCAGGAGGGGCAGGCCCTGGAGCTCAGGGGGGGGGGGGCGACTTGCTCAGGGGTACAGGGCACTACTCAGAGCCCAGAGAGCAGCTTCTCAGCTGCTAGCTCTCCCTTAAATATAAGTCTTGGCATTCACACTGCCCTGAGGCTTGCACTCCTAGACCTGAGACTTGGTCCTTAATAAAAATTAGGGGGACTTGTACATGTTACAGGGACAGTTTCCAGGGTCTCCCAGGGCAAGATCTCTAGCATTCCCAAGTTCAGTGTATCCCCAGTGTTGGGATCACAATGACCCTTTCACTCCTGAAGGTCATGTCCTCTGAAGCCCCAGAGATGTGGATTAACCACCCACCCTCCTGGGTCATGATTATCACCACAAATTCCAACTTCCACTCCCATTCCACCAATAGAATAGTTAGATCTCAAGAACCAGGTTCATGTGCTTCCACATCCCGTGATCTTGAAAAATCACATTTTGAGATCTCTGAAGAGAACCAGGAACGAGATTCCTGAGGCCTCAATGGTAAACCCACAGGCTTCCAAAGTGTTATCTTGACTCTTTGGTAAAATCAAAACAGCTCACAGGGTCCCAGCCTCTGCTCCCTAGGAATCTGATTAAGGAAAGGAGGTGTTTGCCTTTTTTTGTCAAGACCATCAGGAAACCTTGAACTAAATCTTTAAGATAAAGAAGTCATTTTGGGTGACCTAGTGTGTGGGGGTCCCTCTCTGGGATTCAGTGATACAGAGTATTTACTCAATGCCAGACACTATTCTAATCAGTTCATAAGTAGGACCTCAATTTATCCTCATGACCACCCCAGGAGGCAAGTGATATCAGGATCAGAATTTTACAGATGGGAGGACCAGGGTGAGTGAGGTTGAGACCCTGTTCAACAGCATGCACCTGCTCACAAGTGCTGAGTGGACACAGCCCTGCTCGAAGCCATGTCCTCTCACCTACTGGAGGGACAGGTTGGAGATGGAACCGTGTTCTATGAGTCCCCCACCCCCCAGCTTCTGGCTCCCATTTCCCTTCATCTCCAGAAGAAAGTGACAGAAACTCCTACAGATAAATGTGAATCAACCTCTAATCTTGGTGTTAAACAGGTGACCTTGAACACCAGCTTTGGCTTCAGGCATGACAAGTCCTTGGCTACCATCTGGGATTTAGACAGGGACATAGTAGGTGCAGGGGAGGACAGGGACATAGTAGCCTAGTAGGGCAGGACGGGACCGCTGGCCAGCACTGGAGGCTTCCGCTCAGTCAGGTAGGCCAATTAGTCAGTTCCTCTTCATGGTTTCCCTGATCCACTCCAGGTAGTGGCAGACTTTGGTATAGACACCAGGCTTGGTAGTGGTGTCACAAGGGACATCACCCCAGGACACAATGCCCTGAAGAGCACCTCTACAGATCAGGGGTCCCCCGGAGTCACCCTGTGGGTAGAAGGGGGTGTCTCAAGTTGAGAGGGAACTTCCTGGATTCAGAGCCACCCCATCCCCATCCTAATCACCATTCGCAATCTCAATCCAACCCACTCCATCCCAGGTACCCCCAGCCCCACTTGCTCAGCTAAACCTGAAGAAACTCAACCCATCAAAGCAAACCCATGCCCATCCTCACATCTAACACAACTCACTCCCAGTCTCCACATCTAATGTTTCCTCTCCAAATCCATCCCAGCCCACTTCGCCCCCAACATATTTCCCATCCAAATCAAACCAAACTCTTCCCCATCCTCACACCAATCATGCTATCCCAAGCTAACCCTATTTCCATCTTTAGCTCTAACTCCAACCTAACCAGTATTATAACCACTCTTACTATCACACATCTAGACTTAACTCTAGCATCTTCATGGCTCCAATCACACAAAATCCAAGATGTCCCAACTTTCCAGCCCGTACCCACCCGCTTTCTCCCACCTCCTAGCCCCTCTGTGCTCTGACCTCGCAGGAGTCGGTTCCTCCGCCCTCCACTCCTGCACACACCATGGCGCTTGTCAGGCGTCCAGGGTAGTCCTTGTTACAAGAGGCGTCCGAGATGATGCTGATGTTGGCACAATGCAGCGTGTCTGGGAGGCTCACTGGGGAGGACAGCAGACTTGGAGCATACAGTGCATTTTGGCTCCTCTCCCCTCTACCAGGAGCCCTGGAGGATAGGTCCATCCTTTCACACACCTTGAGACTCAGGGCTTCCTGTGGTCCCGGACTCCTCGTTGGACACCAGACCCCAGCCAGACACCCTGCAGGCCTCTCCTGGGTCGGGGCAACGGGTGGGCAGAGCCGCTGGGCGCACCTGGGGGGTCAGACGCGCAGGTCTGGCTAGCCGCACCAACATGACGTCATGGCGGTGGCTGCGTGCTTCGTACTGCGGGTGGGGGATGACGCGAGAAACCATCCGCAGTTGCTCGGGGCCATCACGCTTGCGCAGATTGTGCTCGCCCAGGCGCACTCTCATGAAGCTGTGCAGCGAGTCGTTACCCGCAAGTGCAGCAAGGAGTAGATAGAGAGGTCAAAGAGTGTGCAACCTGGAATCCTCTGACCCTTTGGGAATCTCCAGGTGCCATTATGAACCTATATGCCTGAGGCCAAAAGGTTCCAGCTCCTGCCCCTCGGGGATCCGGGAGTCTGAAAGCCTGGGCGCACCTGGAACTCAGCCTCCATGCTTTCAGACCTTCCCTCCTCAGAATCTAGAATTCTCAGATCCCCAGACTCTTCCCCCGAGAGAAAGATGGGGCCTTACCAGCCTCTTTCCTCCTTCAGGGACCTAAGAGCCCTGACCTCCAGCTTCTTCCTCCTTCAGGACCCAGGAATATGGACCCTCTTCCCCGTTCCACCCAAAGCTCCAGGCACCAGCGCGTACTTCCCCCAGAACTAGCCCCCACGCCTGTCCCCGAGCCCCGGCAGGCCCCCACGCCCCGCCTTCATACCGGGTGAGGCAGTGTGCAGCAGAGAGCACCCAGCGTGGGGAGATGAGGGAAGCCCCGCAGTTGAAGCGCCCACGCTCGAAGAGGGCCACTTGCCATGGCTGGGAGTGGGGCACACACTCCTCCCCTTCCAGCGCCTTGTCTCTATCCTGGGCTGGTGGGGGAGGGGCAGAAGATCCTTGAGACCTGGCCTCTTCCGCATCCCGACGCCTTTCTTCCATCCTTTTCATCCACGTCAATTTCTTTTCTTTTTTCTTTCTTTTTTTTTTTTTTTGTATTGGGGATTTAACCCAGGGGTGCTTAACCACTGAGCCGCTTCCCCAGCCCTTTGTATTTTCTATTTTGATACAGGGTTTCACTAAGTTGCTTAGGTCTCACTAAGTTGCCAAGGCTGGCCTCGAACTTGTGATCCTCCTGCCTCAGCGTCCCAAGTCCCTGGGATTACAGGCACGCACCACCACACTTGGTCCCAATTTCTTAAGGGTCCCTGCTGTTTATTGTGAAGCACTGTCCTCTCTGACTTTTATAACGAATGCCTTTTGTGCAATTCTAGTCTAGCCCCACTTGCTAAGGAACCCCGGAGAGGGAGGACAGAGAAAGGATCAGAGGGCAAGGAGTTCTCTGGGATTGGGGGTGAGGCTCAGACAGGTGATCACTTGGAACTAGTGATTCAGGGTCCCAAAGTGTCATGATATCAAGTGAATATAGCCACTCAATAGGTTTGACACACAGTCCTGGCTCCAGGGTCTGTATATGTCAGTCACATTCACCAATTGGCCCCATAGGGTCCTGAACACACAAATATACTCCACCAGGTTTGCAAGCACAGGCACAGACAGGGAGAGCATTTTAACCTAAAAATTAACTGCAGGTGCATGGGTTAGAGCTTCGAGAATCAGAGAAAAGACACTGTGTATGAATATGAACAGTTAACACCTGGTTGTGTACACACACACACACACACACACACACACTCAACATTGGATACAGGTCAGACCTAAATTTAGTCTCCAGTGTGGTCTTGGCTCCCAGTGTCACAGATAAGCACATGTGCATAACAGGTCTAGGCAAAGAAGGTGGGGTCCTTAACCCTGGGTTCAAATATACAAGGTGTGAGACTTAGAGCAAGTTATTTGATCACTGTGCCTCTCTTTCCTCATCTGTAAGATGGGGATGTTTGTAAAGATGAAATAGGAGGGTGTGTGTGTGTGTGTGTGTGTGTGTGTTGAATCATACCTGCAACATTGTAACTGGGAACTGCTTAGTAAATGCTAGTTATTCTCAACAAAGGACCCAGAGATTTATTTGTGGGCACACATATGGACGTACTAAGGTAGACATCTGCATCGACCTCCATGGCCAAGGTCAAAACCGTGATTCAACCACAAGTCATTTTGTAGAATCAAAGTTGCAGACAACAAACTAGAGAACCAACACTCAGACGTGGACCCACCAGATCAGACTCCAGGGCAACACCCAGACATAGGGCCAGGCATTCAAAGTCAAAGACTTATCAGACGACTGGGATAGGTCATGTTTATCCATTTCCAGATCAACCCCCAAGCAAAATCCATGGTGTTCAAGGTCACTCATCAGGTTTCACCTACAGGGACCTGGTTCATGCATATGGGCAGGATGTGGAAACCCCCCAATACACACACACACACACACACACAGGGGCATACACCTATGACAATAACAGTGAAGTCTCGGTAGCATAATGTAGGTAATTTATATAATAAGCACTCAATAAGGATTGAAAAACTAAGTGCACAAACTCTGGGTTCAAATCCTACCTCTGTCACGTGCACACACACACACACACAATGGCGGCATGCACAAGGACATCAGGACATTTCCAGGTCACAGGACCACAGCCTCCTACAATGGGCAGTGTGCATGTGGGCAGGGTGTATACCCCCAAGGTCACAGCCGTGTACACAGACAC